CCCATTCCTCGAGAACCAATGTCATGATATGCATAAATGTAAAAATGCCGAGAAACATAAACCAACTGATCAATAAACGAGGAGGCAAATTTTAGGGTACTACAAAAGGCTATGATTTTCTTCTTTTCAGACTTTTCACTGATCCCTAATTCAAAGATCTAAAGAGATCCCATAAGTTCATCAACTTTCATGTTGTTTATGTCTTGAGCTTCTACAAAAGGCTATGGTTTCCCCTTGCTCCATGTGAAAGAGATCAAACTCTTGTGTTAATGTATTGATTCTCGCTAGCTTAATATCATTGGTTCCCTTATGGGAAACTTGCAATGAGTCCCACACAACTTTTGCCGTTAAACAATGAGAAACCTTATAATATTCGTCAACTTCTAAAGAGGAGATCAGAATATTTTTGCCTTTCCAATCGTAATTATATTTCTTCTCGTCATCCTCATCCCATTGTGCTTCAGGCTTAGGCACAATCATGTTATTCTCACTGGTCATAGTTATTTCAATTGGATCATTTAGAATAACATTCCACACCTTCCTGTCAATGGAATTTATATGCACACACATACAATCTTTCCAGTAACTATAGTTTTCTCCATTAAAAACAAGTGCTCTATTATAAGCCCCTTTAGGTTTGTTAGCCATTTTCTACTAAGTTATACTTGAAGTGCAGAGTGAACTTGTGCTCCTGATACCACTTGTTAGACGATGACACGGATCTAGAAGGGGGGATTGAATAGATCCCTTGCTTAAAAGAGTCGGCGCTACCAATAAAATGGTTTTTTTAAAAATTGTTTAATTTGCGAAAGCTGGCCGAGGAATTTATACCGTCTAAAACAAGCGGTTACTAGAAAACCGGATATGCGTTTAAGCCTTATGGAATCCGATAACGAAATATGAGAATCACTACGCTAATCACACTATCAATTTGATTCATCTCACTATATGGTGTGACTAGTTCCAATGCCTTAAACATATTAACACAATGAAAGGACAATACACAAGGCGTTTGGTTCAGACAATTTATCAAACACTTGGCGTGCAGAGCACTACAAGTGAGTTTTGCTTTGAGTGAGTTGCTCAAGTTTCCTTGTATAATCAATGATTTTACTAGATTCAAAATAAGTTTAGCACTACTCAAACCAGACCTAGATTGATATAATTGTTTGCACTAAAACCACAAATATTAAGCAATATAAAACGTAAGGCAAAAGACACAATGATTTGTTGAGGAAGTTCCCCAGTCGTCCTCGCTCGAGGTATGTCTGCCCTCAATTCTAATAGTAGAATTGAGACCTGTTAATATATAGATATAACCTGTTGTTGAAAGTTTATACAAGAAGTGAATAACAATTAAACAAACGAACACTCTTGTTGTTGTAGATATTATCTCCTCCTGCCCCTTAATTCGAGTCGAATCAAGTACTTCGACAGCTGTGAATAAACCTCTGATTGCGACACTATCTTTGAACAACCTCCCGTCTTCAAAATCTGGCCTAATTGATTTCAATCACCTGCGTGTCGAACCTGAAACTCTCCTCACAATCCTTCATTTACCGTTACTAGATCGACGAAACCCATCGCTCCTCATTACCTTCACTCGGATGAATATGTGATGAGACGAATCGTGCAAAAAATCCCCAAATTCAGAGAATTTTAGAGGACAAAACCCTAGAGGTTTTATTCAAGAAAAACCTGTCGATTCCTCAACCCGAACCGGATAACCAAATCTTCGACTTCGAACATTATCACCTCTAACAATGCATAATACGCAACAAAGATGATTATGTGTGATTGTTGTGATATGCTATGAAGAAAATGAAGATGATGAGAACCGAATCGATACCTATTTCACTTTTCTTGTTTTTCTCCATTGTGTGAAGTGAAACAAGCATCTGAACTTATACATAACATAACTGTCATAACAACTAAAACCACTTCACAAAAACAGTTGACATAACAGAAAAATGCCATAAAACAGCGAACGGTCGACCTATGTAGAAAGCAGGGTCGACTTGAGCTAACCCAGTTGAAAACTTGGGCAAATCCCAGAACCATGCGTTGACCAGAACAAGGTATGCGTCGACGACGCATATCATGCATTTTTAGACAAATTGAAATGCTCACGGTATGAGTCGACCGGTAGGTCGACGTGAGCATACATGAAGTAAACTCTCAAAAATGGCCCACAGTGTGAGTCGACCGGAACAGAACTTTGGTCGACTCAAAGACCTGAATTTGCTAAAGATGCCTATTTTCATACTCTTGACTCTTTTTGATGACATCTATGATATAGTACACGACACCAATGAAGTCTAACTCATATGACACACATTTTGACAATTTATATGCAACAACCGAGATATTTTTATGCGAGCAACGAATCATGAGAAGCAAGATATGCAAATGCAATCATGGTGATAACGTCCGACATGTATTCTTCTATGAAGCTACGTTTTGACATCATCGAAACACACATCTCTATATATGAGGCTTTGCCCTCACATTACCTTCATGTCAAATCTCTTTGGAAGAGATCTGAGAATTTTTCTGACCAACTTAGCTCCTGACATCTTCTCCCCAAGGCAATTGAGGCATTGGCTGTCTCAATAATATTCATGTGAAAATCATGAATGCTCTCATCCTCCTTCATTTTCAAGTTCTCAAACTTGGTGGTAAGAAGTTAAAGTCTTGACATCTTCACCTTAGAGGTTCCTTCATGAGCAGTCTTCAAAATCTCCCAAGCATCTTTAGCAAAAGTACAATTATTTATCAGTCTGAAGATGTTCTTGTCCACTACATTGAACAGACATTCAATGCTTTGGAGTTTCCCTGAGCTAGTTTGTCATCTTCATCATCCCAGTCTTCCCCAGCCTTTAGCACACCGATAATTTTATCATCTTTATCTCTAGCCATTGGTGGATCCTATCCCTTGACCACAGACTTCCAAACCTTGTTGTCCATAGACTTCAGAAAGGCCACCATACGTGCTTTCCAATAGTCATAATTGGTTCCATCAAGAATGGGTGGTCTGTTCACAAATCCTCCCTCCTTGTCCATTGTACCAGAAAATATCTTTCCTAGATCTCACCCAGATACAATACTTGATCTTGCTTAAAAGCTTCAATCAAGAACAATATACTCTTGCTTAAAAGCTTATAGTGTACACTTACAACTCAATAACATTAGTCCAGTTCAAGCATCTAGGTGATGAATGAATGACTCACAAACAGTCTACCTCAATGTATCAGAAGGTACATGAGTGACACATAATACAACAACACGCTAAAAGAATACTCAAACTCTAAACCCTTATTTGCACACACGGTTTCTTCTTAACAATAATTACTCTGTAATTTTAGGTTTAATAAGTCTCTTTATATAGACTCGTGCAATATGGGCTTGGACTCTTCAATCAATTCCATTCTGTCAGTTTTAAATCACCTGCAAAATATACTCCACAATAACAGGAACAAATCTTCAAGGTTTCCTAAAAGGTCTCATCATCCAAATTTAACAATTTGTGTACAGTTGGAGTTGGAGATACATAAATTTTTTCCTGATAAAATATTTTTGACCTGCAAAAATTATTGAGATATATCCCAAAAGAAATATCACAGAATTAAAACAAATATGTCAAGATTTAAAACAGACAGAATAGATGTATTGGTATAACATGTTACAATATCTGTTAGGACATCTGCTCTAAAGGTGAGCTAATCAGCATGTTACAATATCACACACAACATCCTACTGTGAACTATGTTTTAACAAAATTATTGTCAATTCTTAAACCATGAAACCTTTAAAATAAACGGAGTAAAATAAGTGGAGTAAAGTCGAATAGAACGAAATATAATAGAATAAAAATATCAATAGAGCAATTTTATTATTATTTAAAAAAAAAATACAAAAAATTATTAAAAATAATGAAATATAATAAAATACATTTCATTTAATTCTCTTTCATTCCAATCTTCTTTTTAATCATTTCAAACAACAGAACATAAATTTATATCAATTCATATTATTATATTCCATTTCATCACATCAATCTAAAATTACTCTTAAAAATTATATCGATAATCTTTTAAAAAACTTGGGATTATTGGTATTGAAGGAGCTATTATCGTAGGCGCCCCACTTTGTTCTGTACCTTCTGTTGGTTCTGAACACCTTTAATACTAACATTAATAATCAATGAATAATGGTCAATTTCCACTAAAGATGAGCACGTGCTAAAAGCAGACCCAGCACGTGCGGGCATTCTCCATGACACTGACGGCGAAAAAGGTGCACGGAGCTGAAAACACTGTTAGATTCGTTTGCCTAACAATGTCATTAATGCAACCCATATAAATAATAAATAAATTCCATACATGCTTATGCATCATCATCATAAAGATACAGATTGGATTAAATACGCTACATTTTCAAATATAAAAAAAGCTATATTAAAATATTTTCAAATAAAAAAAAAATACATTAAGACTCATAAATTTCGGATCAATTATTATTTGTAACAAAATCATGTCATCTTTGACCTCGGGTGCTAAACAAGTTTTTGCTGTTTATTGTAATATAATTTGTTATAACTAAAAAATTTGATTTAATATTTCTTTTAAGATTGAAAGAAGGTTGAAACTAGTAAAAACACAATTAATTTTAAATTAGATTAATCGGTCTAATCAACCACAAAATCTTGATAGTAAAAACCAAAAAAAAATCTATTATAATAAATTTTTTTAGAATTATGAATATTGTTTTGTCTATTTCGAATATATTCCTAAAAAAAAATTATCAAAATTTTTAACAGCAATTTTTCAAAGGCCACTTTGCACAATGGGAGAAGAAACAGTCGATTATTCCATTCGAAATGAAACGAGCACGACGACGTTAAACTGATTCAATTCAATTCAAATCTCTCTCTCTCTCTCTCTCTCTCTCTCTCTCTCTCTCTCTCAAACTCTTGCTTTGTTCTGTTTTGGCGCTTCGCTATGAGTTCAAGCGAATCGAATAGACAACGAAGTTCATCTTCAACGGTACGTTTTTCTCTCTCAACAATCCAAACCCTAACAGACTTGATTACAATTGTTTTTCGCCTTTCTAGATTTCGATTTCCGTAACTTTGATTCAAAGCCTTATGAATGAATGAATCAATCTCTGATTCGGTAATAATCGATTAAGTTCCTTTATGATTAAATTTTCCACAAAAGGATAATAAGTGAAACAGAAATAAGATCCGTTTTTCGTTTCGAAATTGATCCTCCAAACGTGATAGTTTTGCTGTAATATAAATTGATTTTGAGTGAATTGATTTTGTAAAATTGATTAAGATTGAAAGTGAGGTGAATGTGAAATGATTTATGTTTTTATACATTCATCTGAATGTGGATTAAATAATAAATTTGTGGCTAAAAATTAGTTGTAGAGGCTAAAGTTTCGAATTCTAGTTTCAAGTTTGAATTTGAATTAGTTCTGGAAGCAAAAGTGATTCTACTTGAAAATCAATTTTACAACTTTAGAATAAATATTGGCTCTTCCAAAAATGGAACCAAACATACACTTAGTGCTTTACTCTAGTTGTTTATATGTCTTTCCTCTTTCACCTGAAGTTTGTTTTATTGAAATTATTAAGAGTATGTTTGGTTTCACTTTTGAAGGAGTCAAAAGTGATTTTAGAGGTGTATAATTGATTTTGACATGTTTGATTTTTCGAACAGTAGAATTGATTTTCCCTTGATTCTACTTGAAGCTATTAATTGTAGCTATTGATTCTATAATTGATTTTTAAGCTCAAATTTTTTATTCAACTCAGTGTTACATAAATGGATCCAAACATGAATGACATTACATTCGACTTACTTTTAGCCATAATCAATTTTCATAATGAATACATTCAGAATCAATTTTTGTCACCGCAAAACCAGACATTTGTTTCATTTATGTAAGTTTTTAATGTTTGATTTATTTTTGTTGACAGGTGGAATGCAAACCTCAATTTAAAGCACTTTTATTTTTGGCATACCAGAGTTTGGGCTTTCTGTTTGGTGATATCAGCCTCTCCCCTCTTTATGTCTATCAAAGTATATTTTCTGGGAGACTGAAACATGTTCAAAATGAGGATGCAATATTTGGCGCATTTTCTTTGATTTTTTGGACTATCTCTCTTATTTCTCTGTTGAAGTATGCTATTTTCATGTTGAATGCAGATGATAATGGCGAAGGTAAGGATTGTTATTCATTATTATTCTAAGTCTTGATCCCCTGCCCCCCCTCAAAAAGATCCCTTTATAATATCTATTAAGTGTAGTAGAACTAATTAATGCATTCAACTTGTGCAGGAGGGATTGTTGCTTTGTATTCTCACCTTTGCAAAAATGCAAAATTTTGTTTGCTTCCTAATCATCAAACATCCGATGAGGAGCTATCTACATATCGCAAACCTGGTTACTCAAATAGAAATATACCACCCTCGTATTTGAAAAAATTCATTGAAAAACATAAGAGCACAAAAATTATTTTGCTTGTTTTTGTTTTACTTGGTGCTTGCATGATAATTTGTGTTGGTGCCCTCATGCCTGCCATTTCAGGTAAGGCAACATCTTTTTCTCCTCACAAACATGTCAGTTTTGTCTGGTAGAAAATGATCTGACTGATGTTTTACCTTGTACTTTTGTTTACCACGGGTTAGCTTTATTAGTGTCTCTAATGATCAGATTTTTATCTTGCAGTTCTTTCATCTGTTGAAGGGTTGAAAATTGAAGCGAAGATTAAAAATAATAGTAAGTAAAACAATGTATTCTTCCACCGAACAGTTTTAAATGCTCAAAGCTTAAAAGCTAAACACAATAAATGAATGAGTTAATATATCAACAAAGACTATAAAAAAGAAGATACCTATACCTTAGATTTTAAAAAATATATTGGGAGGTAATTCCATAAAATATGATGTTCACTATTTATGACTTTTGTTATGTCCTATAACCTACACTATTGCTCCTGTTATACTCCAAACTCCCTGTCTGGTGCATGGATTGTTTCAAAGAAAAAATCATGGTGTGTTAGGTAGGTTCTGCTATGTGACATGCAGAGTTGTTTACAAGAAGTTCAATAAAGCTTGCTATCCAGTATTCTTCAGTATAAACAAAATCACTCTAGGATATTTATTCTGAAATTTCACACTAAATTTACCCCACAGTTTTTAATGTTTCAAATATATGTAAAATGCAGCATAGGTGATTTTTCCATTACAACTTACGCTTCTAATCTATGCAGGTATGGTGCCTCTTATTTCTTGTGTTCTACTGGTTGGACTCTTTGTTCTGCAACACCGTGGCTCCCACGCGATTGCTTTCATGTTTCCCCCCATAATCATCCTATGGTTACTATCTATTTTCACGATTGGCATTTACAATGTCATCAAGTGGAATCCAAGCATATATCGGGCTCTTTCTCCATATTATATATATAAGTTCTTTTGGGTTACAGGAAAAGGCGGTTGGACTAATCTCGGAGGGGTATTTTTGTGTGTTACAGGTCTGCGTCTTTTTTAAATTCCATCTTCTGCTTGGGCGTCATTCTTACAAATACTTAATGTTTTTTTTTGCATAACTTCAGGAAGTGAAGCTATGTTTACAGACCTTGGGTACTACAAACAAGCACCTGTAACGGTAGGTGCCGTTAATAAGTAATAAGTAGGATTTCAATTTCATAGTTTAATGGTGAAGTTCCGTTCATCAATGTGTACCCTACAGATAGATACCCAAGATTGATTAGCATTATTTGACTGCCGGTTTCTTTTAGGGTGATGAAGGTTTCATTTTGCCAGTGACCCAGTTTGTATACCTAGTTATAATATACTTTTCAGACCTGGACATGTTAGATGTGTCTTTTATATGAGAAAGAATTAAATTGTGGTATGAAACCATTAAGGATATAATCCACCTTCATCCAGAATGCTTTAACTCTTACATCAGTGTTTATTTTATTTTTAAAATGATCGTTGTAACTTTTAGTATTGTATCCTTGTTACCACGCAGGCTGCATTTTCTTGTATCATTTACCCATGTCTAATTCTTCAGTACATGGGGCAGGCTGCTTTTCTTTCAAAGAATTTATCTGCAGTACCTATAAGCTTCTATGCTTCTATTCCAGGTCAGCTAATGTAAATTCTAAAAAGTTATTTATGATAGGTCATGTTGATTTCTGGAAGAAACGGGACAACGTTTTGTGTTAATTTGAAGTATTAGCTTTCTTCACTGTATCCCATTTGATAATTATGAACTGAAGCCAGTATCAAACCCTATCACATTCAAGTTCTGGCAATGCTCAGCCAATTTATGTGGCTGAGATTTGATAGAAAATTTTATCTTTTGAGGGTTTCTTATCTAATAGGATTATTCCAGTGGTGAGTTATATTTGAGATGTCTCTATTACTATTACCACATATTTTTTTACTGAGCAATAACCTTTTGATGTTCTCATACCCTTAACATTAAGTCAGTTTATCCTACATATTCTTACAATTCCATCTATTATTATAATTATATTAGAAAGTCCTGTTTTGAAGAATTGTTGTTTATCAGTTATTGGCTAAGGTTTTATATTGTTGTAATAATCTGTGGATTAGATTGAATAGGATTATGTGCAATACTGATGGCCGATTTACTGTCACAAAACAACTTCATAGGGTTTTTACATTGTATCTTCAAATCTTCTAGCCCTTGTTTCATCCATAATACTTCGCGAATTTCTAATGCCATAGCCTTGAACTATGCTTCAACGCTTGATTGAACAACTATATTTTGCTTCTTACTCCTTCAAGCAATAAGGTGTCTACACAAGAAGGTACAATAGCATGAAGTAGATATTCTATTAATCACTGAACTTGCATAAAAACATTAATGTAAGCCTTCGTAGTTTAGACTTTCACCTCTTTTAAACAAGAATCCTCTCCTTAGAATGACTTTGGGATATTGTAGAAACAAAGTACTCACGACTGGGAGGATGATAACATTTGTTCTCTCTTATGCTATGTGGATAACCCACAAAGATACATCTAAGTGCACGGGAATTCAACTTAGTTTGGTGTTGCTTATGGACATGGACAAAAGCTAAATACTTGAGATTTGAGACCCAACATTATAGAAGCAGAAGAAAAAAGTGAGATTATAAACTCAACACGACTAGCATTACCTATAATATAATAGTACAAGATGACACACCATTAATTAGATAACCAACTGTCAAATCTACTTTACCTCAATATTAATTTTGAAGTGACATTTGGAAGAGTAGAGCTCGAGCGACTTCAAGTAAGTAACGTTTGTTTTTTCTTTCTGCGACACCATTTTGTTATGGGGTGTCAACACATGTGAATTCATGGATGATGCCATATTTATTGGTAAAGCTGGAAAAATTATGATTGATATGTTCTTTACCATTGTCGGGGAACGTATTCTATTAATACATTTTTCAGATTGTGTTTGTACCATATTATAAAATTGAGTAACAATTGTAGTACTTCTGGTTTATTATTCGTTCTGGTTTATTATTCATCAAGAAAATCCAAGTTATTCGAGAATAATCATCAATAGAAGAAACAAACCATCTCGCACCTTAAATGTTAGAAACAACAACCGGTCCCCAAACATCATAATGAATAAGATTAAACGGTTTAACATTTTTAGTATGACTCAAAGGAAAAGTAGTTTGGTTATGTTTAGCAAATTGAAAAATGTCACATTTAAAAGACTCAATAAATTGTTTTGAAAATAGGGATGAAAATATACACGTCATTAATGAAAAAGAAGGATGACCATGACGTGGGGCCATATTTAGGAGGCAAAAGTAGACTCTGATTGAAAATGAAGTGCAAAAGACAACACCTTCTGATCAGTTCATGCATTAGAGAGATAGTATAACCCTCTATGTTCTCTAGCAATTTCAATTGTATTCTCTGTTGCAAGATCCTAAAGCGTACAATGAGAATAATAAAATATAACTGCACAATTATTATTCTCTGTTGGAACTTCCGCCTTCATTATGGTCTGCCCCCTAGTCGCCTAAATTATGGCATTTAGCTTGGCTTCATTGCAGATTGCAGTTTCCAACACCTTCATTGTGTTGGGTTTGAAGAGGTGCATTCAACATCACATTTATAGCCTGTGTTGTGTTTATAAGTGTGGGCAATTGTCACTTTATAAGTCGGTTTTGTAGAGATGAGTTAGGTCTCATCAAATTCTAAGACAACTCAATACAAATTGTATTAGTAACTAATTTAATTTACTCCTCCACTCATTAACCTGTCAATTTTTCATGCTGGTTTATGATATATGGTATCAGTGGAATAACATGACCTGTTAGCATATTGGTTACTAGTATGCAAGAAATATTACTCTAGCACATAAAGCAAAACAGTTGAGCTGACTAGACATCCTGCAATATGTTTTCAATGAGAATGTAGTGATGTTTTTGTCATTTTGTAGATGTCCTCTTTTGGCCGGTATTTGTGTTGGCTGCTTTGGCTGCAATAGTGGCAAGTCAGGCCGTCATCTCTTCGACATTCTCAATTGTCCAACAATGCCATGCATTTGAATGTTTCCCTCGTGTTAAGGCAATACAATCCAGAAGATGGATCAATGGTCAGACGTATATACCAGAGATAAACTGGATTCTTATGGTAATCAGCCTGGCTGTGACAGTTGGATTTGGAGACACAGGGCGTATAGTATATGCTTATGGTAAGCTGTTACAATGGTATTTAAAATTCTTATTTAAGTGTTCATGTGTCTTCATACTTTTGTTTTATCTTTTGGCTATTTAATTCTATTTTTTTTCCAGTAATTTTTTAAGACAGAACTGCATTCTCTTATGTATTACGTGGTTTTGAAATATGATTCTCAATCCATTGATATGCCAACTATATAGAAATCGTAAAAAAGTCGTTAGAAGTCAGACTTAGCATAAGGCCATAATTTTGGTTTGCTATCCAGATAAGACTTTCTTACATTATCATCTATGGCATGTTAACACATCATAAAAGAGTTGACTGATAAAAGGTGTCTAATGATTTCAAATTCTTTGAACCATGTGGCAGCATGTTATTGGATGTACCCCTGCTAGTGTAAAGATATACACTTACATGGATGAAAATTAAATTGTGTTAAAATGGCTTATTATGTAATGTAGAAGGTCCAATAACTGTGATAGATTTCTTTTCTTTTAATTTCTGGGTAACTGTATCATTTACTGCTGTATTTCAGCTGATGATTGCTAATGCCATCATCTTAATTGCAGGGATTGCATGTCTGATTGTATCGTTTGTGACTACATGGTTGACATTACTCGTCATCAACCTTGTATGGCATCGAAGTCTTATAGTTGCTATGGCATTTCTCTTAATCTTTGGTTCAATAGAAGTCCTCTTTCTCTCTTCTTATTGCATGAAAATCCCAATAGGTGGCTGGGTTCCAATTGTGCTCTCCTCCCTCTTCATGGTTGTAATGTATGTCTGGCATTATGGTTCTAGAAAAAAGTATTTCTTTGATATGCATAACAAAGTTTCAATGAGGGGGGTCCTTACATTAGGTCCTAGTCTTGGGATTGTAAGGGTTCCAGGGATGGGCCTAATCTATACTGAATTAGCGTCTGGAGTCCCTGCTAGTTTCACTCATTTCTTGACAAATCTGCCAGCTTTCTACCAAGTGGTTGTTTTTGTTTGTGTCAAGACTGTCCTTGTGCCTTCTGTGCCCCATGCAGAACGTTATCTCATTGGTCGAATTGGTCCGAAATCCTATCGGTTGTATCGGTGTATTGTTCGATATGGTTACAAAGATGTTTATAGCCATGAAAATGATTTTGAAAATGAACTAGTGATGAGCATAGCAGAATTCATTCAACTGGAGGCTGAAGGTTGTTCTGGAAACCTAGATGGTACTGCAGATGGCCGTATGGCGGTCGTTAGGACATCTGGGAAGTTTGGAACAAGATTGCGAATGTCAGAATCTGCTGGTGTTGAAGAAGCCGACAGTAATAATCTCTCCGGAGCTTTGACTGTTTCTAGCAGTAAATCTCCAACATTAAAGAAGCTTCAGGCCATGTATGAGCAGGAATCACTTGAACTCAACACTAGACGGCGGATTAAATTTGAGCTTCTAAATACAATATATAGAGATCCACTAGTAAAGGAGGAGCTCATGGAACTTGTGGAAGCCAATCGCGCAGGAGCAGCATATGTGATAGGCCATTCACATGTAAAGGCCAAGTGGAATTCTTCCTTTATGAAGAGGTTTGCTATGAACCTCTACTCTTTTCTTCGGAAAAATTGCCGCTCCCCAGCTGTTGGGCTAAATATTCCCCAGACTTGTCTGATTAAGGTAGGAATGAATTACCATGTCTAGACATTAAGATGCTGAAAATATCGTGACTGGGGATGTGATTTATGCAAGCCAGAAAAAATGCCACCTTGGCTTTCTCGACCAGCAACATTATGCTACTTTGGTATATTAAACTGATAGAGATGTTATTCAAGAATCTCCTCTTGGCATTGTTGGAAGAAAAAGCTGCATCTAATTGCCAAGAATTTTGACTCTGATGGCGCTGACTAGGCATGTCAGTTACTAATTTGTCGGATAAGGAGTTATGTTGGTGGGTCCTTTACCTGTTTATTGTGTTTTTGAGCTTCCCAAATTACACTTTTGAGAGTCAGGTCTGTCTTAAGTCTAGTTTTGTTGAAATACTTTGCATGTAATCATCTAAAGCTGCCTTTGTAATTTTCTTTGGTCATTTTTGTAATCCTCCTCAGCGTCGCAAAACAAGGAAATGATTTGTAATCAGAAAATAGAAAGTTATACATGAATGAACTATATATAGACCTTTCAAATGTCCTTTGAGTTGTTGATCTATTTATTAATCTATTTTGGCAACTAAAAAATTCATCTTTCCGGTTTGTCACTTAGTTTGCTTTGTTGAGTTTTTTTAGCTGTTCCTTTTATATACTCAAACATTCTATACATTATTGTTTAGCTGGAACTTTATTGGACCAGTTCCATAAAAATATACTATTTTGTCAATTTGTGAAGAAAACATGTTTCAGATTTTCAATTCTTTTTAGGCTTATAAATTATAAGGATGTCTAGTTCACATAAATTATTGACATGAAACTTAATGGTTCATGATAAAAATAGGTATTTGGGTAACATATCATTGATAGGAAACAACGATGAGTGCCAGTATACCAGTTGAAATAGGTATTAGGAGTGGACAAATTTACTATAACCGTGTTATCCGTAAAATATAACATGTATTCGGACGGTTGGTGATTGTTCTAAGAGTTGTTGATCGGTGGATTTCAGTTGTGTTTTCAAACGCTGTTTGTGGTTAATTTCGCAATGTTTTTATCTAGTTTTCGAAGCTTTAGTGTTATTATCTGCATTACTCGTAGTTGTGTGTCTTCGAGTCTTATTTTTAAGTTTATGTTGCTTTTGCCGCTGGTGCGTTTGATTTGGTTTCTTTTAGTGTGTTTTTGGCAGGAATGGATAGCACGACAATCGCACCGCATTCGGAGGCAAAGAAAAGGCGAAAAAGGGAACTCAGAGCTGCAACACGGGTACCCGTGTTGCACAACACGACCCGTGTCATGAAGGACACGGCTGGCAGACACGGGTGGACCAAAGCAGAAGAAAAAGAAGACTCAGACTTGCAACACGGGTGCCCGTGTTGCAGCCCTTGGAGAGGAACACGCCCTGAAGAAGCCAACAGCCTGACACGGCCACCCGTGTTGCACAACACGGCCCGTGTCAGGGCCACTGAACGTGAAATTTCTCTATTTTCTGATTTTTTGCTGTCAGACCTATTTCGAAGGGCATTTGAGACATTTCGCTATGTAATTTGAATTTAGATATAAGAGGCACATTTTAGAAAGGAGAAAACACTTTTGAATTAAGATTAGGATTGACAACTGAGAGGAGAGTTCGGCTGGAAACAGAGGATCGATCAAAAGCGGAAGCGATTGATGATCCAAGGATTTCAACTTACATTGTAATGATCTTCTCCTTTTTAATTCTAATTACTTTTATGTGTACGAAGAACATGAGCAGCTAAACCCCAAGGATTATGGGGTGGTCCTAAGTGCGATGTAATGACGTTTGTTTAATTATTCTTTTTCCTTAATATATTTTATTTTGCATTAATATTACTCGTATTCATATTGGAAAGTAGAATTCGAATCGTGCTTAGGCGTTAGTCTGGAAAGTCAACCTAACACTTTTGCAAAATAGTATCACGGTCGATATTGCTTAGGAATAAGGATATCCCATATCACGTATTTTATGGTCGGAATTATTGCTTGATGCTTTTCAGGGACACTGAGGAATTAGTGTACAGGAAAATCATCAAAGGGTTTTCCTTAAGGAATTAAGACAACTAAAGTGGCCAACTGATAAATTAAGGTTAATAACGAGGATAGTAGAATAATCATACATGGTCTTTACTCGCATCGACTCCACTCCCCTAACACTGTTCTTAGATTGATTAATTAAGTCCGTATATACTTATTATATTACTCTGCTACCAAACAGAACACTAGACCTTTTGTTCATTTGAATCCTAAAAATTCCGTTAATTACTACGCAGTCCTCGAGATCGATACTTGAGACTTTTCCCTTATTACTACAATTGGTAAAAATAGTACACTTGCTATTTTCCCGATCAGTTGCCAGTTTTGATTTAAGTTGAAATGGCTTGTGATAGTTGATATCGGATGTGCTGAGTTGTCAGTTTTGACTTTCAGTTGAAATGGCTTGTGATGGTTGATGTCGGATGTGTTTTTCGAAACATTGAAAACCATAACTGGCTAAGTTGTTCTTACTAAGAGCATTTAGTAAGAACATTTTCAATTATGCAATCAATTTTGTAAATTTCATTAAGTCACATAATTTTGAAGCAATTTATTAATTTTAATTTCATTGGTGCATCTCTAAAGAAGACATATTGAGTTCAACAAATTTATCTTATATATATTAATTTAAAAGACCTGCAATTTAAATTTTATTTTATTTATGTTGTTTGTTACTATTGCTTAGTAATACAACATTTCTTTTTTACCTATATCTTACACTCCATTTCTTGTACTTTTACCATAATATCCTCACATTTGAAAAAATACAACATTTACTATTTATTTTATTTTTTTGAGATTTGGAAAAACTTTAATTTTACCGGAATTTTTTAAGTTTCAGTCGGATATTTACAATGCATTTAGACCGACAATTGAGTAGTCATACCAAATTTAAAAAAAAAACATGTTTTTTTACCGATAATTCAGTAGTTCTACCAAATTTTCAAACAAATATCTAATGACCAAGTTGTGAAGCAAGTGCCAAACCACCTTTAAAAATGGTTAGATTTACATGCTTTTTTTTGTTTCGTTTATTATTATTTAAAACAAAAAAAAATTTATCTGTAACGAGAGTTTTGATTTACTCCCTCATAATAAGAAAAAATTAAAAAATCTTATAACAAAAAAAGCCATGCGGACAGGCCACGTCAATAAATATAAGATTGCATACCATTTTGTCAATTAAAGAGTCAAAGACACAAAATTATTATATTATAAAAGGGAAATCAAGAAAAAAATTATCACAGTAAGTAAATTGAATCTCACTAACATTAAAAAAATGACATATATTTAACCCTTGTTATAATTGTACGTTGTCATTGCTGATAAGCCATTGTAATTATACGTTCTCACTAAAAATACTTCATCTTGATGTCGAGGTCTTTGCAAAAATATGCTAACCTTTGACTCGTAAATTAAATTTTGTTATCTACATAATTGGATATGAAAGATCATGTTTGTACACAACACTTCCAAACACATTTTTGCATATTTTTTTCTACAATGATAATGAACAAGGGTTCAACCTCTATCCACTAAAAAAAAGATAATTAATGGTTATGCCTATGAATTTTAGATAACTTGATACAGGAATAAAAAGAATAAGGATGTCCAACTCCAGTATATTGAAAGTCCATACTGTCAGGACCTAGTGTAACATCTCGAGCGATTGATTGGTTGAAAAATTGTTGGCATTTGTCGCACATCTGCACAATCTAATCTAGCTCCATGATGGTTCCCCATACTCATTCTTTAGGAGTATATTTTTTAAAGAAATTTTGTTGAGAGACTAAACATAAAATATGAAATATTTAGAAAAATCACAAACATACCTAGTTTTAAATTATTTTGTTACAATTAAATTAGTATTGAGAAAATTTTATATAATAAATTAATTTTATATTATCAATTATATATTCCGTGAAACCAAAGGATAATTTTCAAATTTTAGTAAGACATTGGTCGTTGAATGATATATTCGGTAAAACTATTTTAGATTACAGATACATGACCATAAAAGTCATTGGTCATTAGTGTTTACTACTTTCTTTTTATTAAGAATAGTGTTTACCTACCCCAAAGTTTAATGCTCTTTTATACACACCCCCATTAAACTCTATCCAATCCATTCCTTTTCTCCAATTCTCCTCTTCACTATTTACTCATCAAATCCAAATTCTGCCTAAATTTTCTCATCCCAAACTATCTCAGAAGAAAAAAAAATGCAAACATAGTGTTATCTTCTCTCTAGTCTATGGAAGAAACTAGAACCATAACTCGAACTACATCTTCAAATCACATTCCCTAAACCATATCCATATCCAAATCCAAATCGTTCATGTGATTATCCTGTTGCAGTTAACCGATTCATAAATGTTGTTTACCTCTTCTTCTCACTCTGTATTCTCTCGTCAATCGTTTCTTCCAATTAAGGGTTTTCTGCGTCCACCTACACTTCGTCCTTTTCCTTCAACCACTTTTCGGATCTCAAATTCTCGTTTCAATTCGCCAAATAGCGTAAACAAGGTTTATTTGTGTATTCTGTAATTTTGCTTCCAACAATTTTTAATTTTTATTTATTTTCTGTTATGGGTTGCTTTTTAATTTTTATATTTTTATCAAATTGATGAGTATGAAGAAAAGGGTTTGGAAACGTTTTTACCTTTTTCCCAAATGAAGCTCAGAATCTGAGACTTGTATATGAAGTTTTGGTTGTGTTATTATGGGTGAAAGCTGTGTGGCAAGATAGTATTTTTAGGGTTCATGCATATAATTTTGTGTTAAGTGATTGGTTCAACTTATTTTTGATTTGGTGTGTTTGATTGCAGAAATTGAGTATTCTGTGCTTTAGGCATGAAGAGTATCATTCTTCAGAAACGCCGAAACCTGAGATTATAGACCACTGTCTTCATGAGGAATTGGTGCAATCTGAATCCAAGGACCCTATTGTCATCAAAAGGGACCGGAAGTCACTCTTTTCGAAGGTTGTACGTCTTTTGTTTA